AAATTTTTCTGGAAAGTTTTACCTCCAGCTCTCCTTAAAGGTAAAATTAGTAAAGTAAAACAAAATCCGTGCTATCAGAAGAAGGATTTTCTTTAAATAATTTTTGAATTCTTTTACCTAGATCCAAAAGTTTATGGTGGATACACAGCATCTCGAAATTTTCCATTTTATCAACGCTNAAGTTTGTAATTTCAGATATTTGAATTGAATAATTTTTTCGCAAAATTTTTCTGGAAAGTTTTACCTCCAGCTCTCCTTAAAGGTAAAATTAGTAAAGTAAAACAAAATCCGTGCTATCAGAAGAAGGATTTTCTTTAAATAATTTTTGAATTCTTTTACCTAGATCCAAAAGTTTATGGTGGATACACAGCATCTCGAAATTTTCCATTTTATCAACGCTTAAGATTTGGCTTATATACACTAAATACAACTAAAACTTTCTGGAGCTAAAAAAGTGCTACACAAATTTGAAAAGAGCTAAAAAAAAGCTAGGAGCTAAAACCTGATTTTCGGAGCTAAATAGAAAAATAAAGAGCTAAATCTAGCTCCAAAAGCACCAAAATGGCAACACTGAGTGGCATGTACACACAACAGCAAATCAATGATGCACATATGTATGTATATTTGTTGGGCTTCATGGGAATTCGGCACATTGTTTTCGCTAAGTTGATAAATTAGCAAGCGCGTTAGAAGGTGAGGCGCACTCCTCGACCTTGAGGGCCAGTTTTTCAGTGCCAGCTTAAACTTAGATTAAGTAAATTGAGTTTAAATTGAACAGCTGGCTGACATTTGATTGGCTAGTTTAAACCACGGCCGCGCACTGAAAAACTGGCCCTGAGAAAGCTCATCAGTCTGATGACGGGCCGAAGGGCGTCGATCGAGCTCCGTACGCTGTCAGGAGTCATAACTAACCACTTCTTCTTTTCAGAGGCTATCGAAACAGATTACAGACATTTCACAGCTACTTTTAAAAGAACCTTTAGAGCTTGCTACTTAGAATGAATAATATCTTCTCTAAATGGTCCGCTTGGCCATGTCGTTCGAATGGACAGAAACGCTCCTGCTCTGAAAATATTCAACGCGGGCCGCGATACTGGTAACAGAGGAAGAGGAAGGCCTCCTCTGCGTTGGAAATACCAGGTGGAGAGAACTTGGCTTCACTTGGCTTTTCCAATTGGCGTCAGTTAGCACAGAAGAGAAATTACTGGCGTGCTGTTTTGGACTCGGCCAAAATCGCTTAGGCGGTTACAGCGCCAATAAAGAAGAAGAATGGTATTCACCACACACTAATATCTAACGCAGGTAGGTTTTTTTTTTATTTTGAAAATGTTTTTGGATTGTTCTTAGTTATTAGCAGTTACCTGGCGTGCTTCGCTGCGCCTTAAACGTCAGCCCAATTCTGAATACTCCCGGAGAGTTTGTTCTCCGGGGATATGTTTCCTCCAATAATCAACTCCCAGGCAATAGCATTTTCCTCGAAAATTTGGGAAGAGGAAATTTGAACTTCGAAAGAGCTGTTTGACACTTTTTTGACAGCTCAACTCCGCCATTCAAAGTAAAAAATCCTCAGGGAATTCTTTTTCGTGATAGGAGGAAAGGGAAAAGAGAGAAAACTCCCAGGGAATTTCTATTCAAAATCGACCTGTGTATGTTTGTGCTGTAACTCTCTCCCAAAACTCTTATGGTCTCATTTATAAAATATATTTAAAGAGCGTGATAAAGTAAGATTTATTTATTTGGTGGGGGTTAGTTAATATCTTTTCGAAGGTAATTAGAAAATATGTAAAGTACCGACTTTCTCTTGGAAATTTGATTAATAATCTTAAAACTGGAGTCTACAATCGCACCCTTTCCTCAAACGTGTATTAATTCAATATTCAAATACCGTATACATATTTTTCTAATTTGAAAGAAATATCCCTACTATACAAATATGTACTGCAGTATTAACTAATATTTTCAAATGTTGTGAGAGGGAGTAACAAAACAAAAATACTTTTAAGCCGCAGCGAGGAACGCCGGGCTATTTGCTAGTAAACCAATAAATTAAATCGGATCGAATTTTAATTCATAGTCGCGCCAAAATATCAAATGAGCACAAACGTCAAACCGAAATGTCACGCAACACAAATCTTGGAATTTGAGTTAGCTTTTTACGCACGCCGGTCAATTTCGGTTGGTCCCATACCCTGTAAAAATCGCGACTACTCCATTCATGCATGTAGGGAGTACTCCCTAAGGGCCATGGAGTAAAAATTAACCACAATTCATATAAAAAAATATGGTCCAATTAACATTGCGATGGCCTAGGGCAGGACCATACACTCCATCCCTGCATTACATCAGAGTAGCACAAAACTACTCCAACATATTAACAATGGCATTGTTGTTATATTTTTTCGTTTGTACACGGTTTTGTTCTTCACTTCTCGGATGCTTTTTCGAAATGAATAAAAACCAAAAACAAAAATTACATATTGCCTCTGACGGCATTCGAGCCCGAATATGCTGGGAGCTGACAAATAACAGCGAGCATCTCTACACGTTCAGCTACAGCCAGACATGCAAATGTGCTTTCAAATGCTCCACTTCAATCACATTTCGTTAAAACACGAGCAGTGATCGGGTAACAAACAATAAGCTGGCGCAGAGACACGAGTTGGTCCGCCACAGCATGACAGAGGAACACTTTTGTAAGTACTCCAATATACCACAAATAGACTAAATGGTCCAACGATTTTTGCAGGGTACAAGTTGTGTGTGCATGAGAAATTTTTGACAGTAAATTGCCGGCGTGCGTGAATATTAGGTTGGCCTGTTAGTCTATTCCAGTAGGTACTCATCAGATTTACTGAGAGGTCGTTTGGATACTTATTATAAAGTTAGTTGCTGCTTTTCCATTGAGGTCGTTTGGATACTTATTATAAAGTTAGTTGCTGCTTTTCCATTGAAAATCATGACAAAAACCAGAAACTAACTTTAAAGCCGACTTCGTTAAGGCTTTGAATACGCATTCTTCGGTTATATCTTCCTAACTAAATCTTGGAGTAGTGGAACTAGGAATGTTAATCTCGGGATCCAGGCCTTGTAATTTGCACTGATGGCAATAATAGGAACTCCTTTTCTTGACCAGTATTGGCTAAATTTTTTTTATTTATTTAATAATTAACAATTTTTTATACATCTCTAGCTGATTATACATATAACACCGCGCGATAGTAAATTTTTAACACAAATATCAATATATTCGCGAAATGGGCTAAATATAGTAAAATTGCATCAGTAATTCAAAAATTATTTAGAAAATTCAGAGAAATGTGCTTAGAGAAAAAGGATGGGTATCAAATTAAAAAGGAAATGCCGTAGAATTTATACAGATTCAAGCTTTTGATGCAGAAGGACTGGTAAGTATTGAAAATGTCCTTTTAAAATTTTATCTTTGAAGTTTCGCAATATTTGTTTTTGAAAAAATTATATGTTAAGGACTTATATAAACTCGACAACATCCTCGAATTTCGTCCATCTAACTTCATCAGCTTTAAAAATTACCTATTCGTACTTGTGAATCCAAACAATTTTATTTTTTTAATTCTAAAGAAATCTCCTCTTGTATTTGGTTCCCATATTTGTATTCTACCTTGCGTTGAATTTTTTAGATAATTTTTGGAATTAATCATATCTTTGAAATTACAAAGTCCTTTAAAATAAATCCTGACGTCGAAGAGAAAAAATTAAAGCGCAACTTTAAATGAAAAAACGGGTTTATTTTATGGTGGTAGAGTTTCTCAAACAATATAGAAGCAGTTTTTTCGATTTAAGTTGTTGAAAAATTAACATCCCTAACTGGAACAGACTAACTGATTACACTGAACAGCTGATTATGGGAGGTTATGCGCTCTATGCAGAGTGTAATTACACCCCTGTTTAACATGCGCTGCTTGTCTATGACCAGTGTTGCCACAGAATTTTTTTTATTATTTTACCAAAATCACCGAAAAAAGTTACCATTTTGAACAAAAAATTACCAAACTTATTTTATGTGCAGAACTGCACAAACATGCATACGTTATTTTGGCAGTTAGGGCTCGACATGTATGTTTTTACAGTTCTGCACATAAAATAAGTTTGGTAATTTTTTGTAATATGTTAAAACTTGTCAAAATATGGTGCGGCTATAATTTTTTCGCCCACTGTATGTAAACAAGTGACAAGAAAATATATCAAAAATTCAACGCTTGAAGGAAAGCTTTCGACTCACACATAGACACAGTGAAGTCCCCCGCTGAATGCCGTAGCTTTTTGAACGAGAACATACATATTTACGTAGAATTCTACTCATATATATGGTTGCCGGGTATACCGGAAAATTGATGGTAATTGCAAAGCTGATGAACTGACAGGGAAAGGTAGGACCACCCAAAACCTTCCAGGAAAGGACTCGGTGGATATACTTAGCAATAGCCACTTTCAAGCAGTTTGTTAAAGATCACACCATTCTAGTAGCCAAGGAACGCTGGAACAACTTTCACCTTGCGAAACTTTCAGGATTACCTGGTATTTCTATAAAAGGAAGCGCTTACAGGCCACTTACTAATGTGGAATCAGAACCATGTAAGACCGAATCGAAAAAGTTACCAAATTGAAAAATAAATTACCAAATTACCAAACTTGATAAATAAAGAAAAAAATTACCAATTTTGGTTAAAAATTACCAAAACGGCAACGCTGTCTATGACCTGCACTTACAATGTAAGCATACTCAGCTCTTAAGTTATGCTCTGCTGAAGGGCACTTAGTTTGGAATTAAAATACATGTTATATTCGCAGACCTTTCATTTATTTACTATTTATTTTTCACCATTTTGTCTTTTCAACCATTTTAACAATAAGAATTCATGCAAATATGTATGTTTGCACAAACACACACATACATTTAGTGAAAAAAAAATTTTCAAAGCCAATTTAAAATTTTCAATAGTAAATTTTTTACGGTAAAATTCTGATAATTTGTTTGATTGTTAGTAGTTGTCTCTCAATAAAAGTGCTTTGTGTGGCCTGCCTTTTTGATTTAAGTTTGAATTTTTCTTAAACAATATGCATGCAAAAAATAAGATTATAATAGGAAATATAAGTTTATGTATACATATGTGTATATTTATGCATGTATATGTGTGGATTCAACTGCTGTATATTGTATACACCCAGCAAACAGTTAGGTTTGATATACATTTGAGAATGACTTAAAATCAAAGCCTTTCTCAAATTTTAAACGTTTGAAAATGATTTGATATTGATTTGAAAATGACAGCTTTCTCAATAAAAAGGAGAGTTTTATCTCCATTTGAGAATATGGTTAACTCTCAAATCAATTTCAATGGTTATTTATCAATTGTACTTCAAATGTGGAAATAGAATTTATTATAGGAAATGTATATTTCATATTTATTTTTTCTTCGCGATGCACATATGTATATACATAACAAAGGAAACAGTTAAGATAAAGTAATTTATAATAAATTCGTCTTGAAGGGCTGCAACTTCTTCAATCCGCGCAAACATCAAATCCACTATTTGTGGGCTTTCTCTTTGAAAATTTTTTTCTATTCATTGCTTTTTTTCAATTGATCCAAGTTTTATTCTTACAATTTTTGATTTAACTGCGCATTTTTATATCGTTTGACACTTGCCATCTTTCTTCAAATCAACCTCAAATGAATTTCAAATGTAAAATTTAAACCTCGTTTTCAATTTGAGAATAATTTGACAAAAACATTTGATATCAAATTGAGAAATAAATTTTCCTCAAACGTTTGAGACTGTGTTTGCTGGTCAGATATATGTACATACAGATATACTATGTACATACATATGTATGTACATAAGTATGTAATTATATCGATATTAGCAATCTTGTTCTCATCGGAAAGAAATAACATTAAAATTGAAACACATATATGTATATGTACATACATATATGTATGTAGAAACCAAAAACAAACATCCGTACTTGAAAATTTTATCTTTACTCAAAATAAATATTAATTTTGATGCAGTAATTAAAAAAGCTGTTAAATTTCTTATAACCTGGTACATACGAGTATGTTTCTAAATGGAAGGTAATAATAATTTTTGTTGGTAATTGAGTCAGATCAAAGCTTAGGTTGGGTATGAATGAATATTAAAATTGTGGGCTTATAAATTAAGAATATGCCTGATACGAATATTTCGTCTTCAGTTATCATTTTTGTTAATCAATTTCATAACAACTTGGCCATTTTGTACTTCCAGAGTATAAAGACTTCCGTCTTTTACTTCGTTATTCAATACCTCATCAGTTACATTTACATGCACTCCTGACGGGCCAGCTAAAAATATAAAATTTTTAGAGCTATCACTAAAGATGTTTGAACCACTTCCGGAATATTTAGAATGCATGCTCCAGTTGCTGTATATAGTTCCATTTTCCATTGTTCCGTTTGTAGTGCCGTTTGCCATCATCTCGTAAAATCCGGGCATTTTGCAAAGCTTCTGCATTAGTTCTCTTGATGTGTTGGAGACCAAATATATGGCGTTGTAGCTACTACCGTCCATACTTACGTAGAGTGTAAGACGAGGTGCAATTGCTCTGCAATGTGATTGTTTATGTTAGTGACCATGTATATTTACGTATTCGAAATGAGTACATATGTATATTAAATGCAACGTACTTAGCGCGCAGTATATTGAACATACGAATCCCATCGGCAAGGCCGCATATTTGAATTAAATCCTCCTTAGACATCCTTGAATTGAAAAAAAGTATGTGTGTAAATGTTAGTGTTTTTGTTAAAACGTCTAAGTAATATTGAAATAAAATTAGTAGAAACAAGTAAAAAAGTCTTAAGTTCGGACGGAGCCGAACATAAGATACCCCGCGCAGTTATTAAACATAGTTTTTTTCACCTTTCCGAAAACTACAGCTCCATGGTAAGCAGGGATGATTTTATTATATTTCAAACATCTTCGATAAACTTATATAAATATACGTGAGCGGTATCACGCCCATTTTCCAAAATTCCATAATGTTACTTATTTTCAAGGGAATGTTGTTAGTATCAATTGTATGTAAATTAGCTTACTTAAATTTCAATATTTCGAGGTTTCAAGCATTTCTGAAATTTACCGTTATATGAAAAGTGGGCCTAATTTAGCCCGATTAAAATGATGATCACACAGAGTTTGGTGCAAATGGCTCGAATGGTTATCGAGATACAGACATGTGGTCATAAGTAGGCGGTGGCGCTCCCATTTTCCAAAATATTATAAACGTATTTTTTGCTACAGAATTATAGCAAAAATCAATTTTGAATAAATTAGCTTCGGTATTTAGCGATTTATTGAAGATCTCGTATTTCTCTAAATTACCGTTTTATGGGATGTGGGCGTGGTTATTATCCGATTTTAAAAAATTTCCGCTATTCGGTATGCTGTATCAAGACCAATAACCGTGCGAAGTTTGGTGGAAATTTGTGGAGCGGTTACCGTGTGGCTACGCCCATTTTCGAAAAATTTATAATATTCTTATTTTCGGTCTAAAAATCATTGTAAATATCAATTTTCAGTGAATAGGCTTAAGTAGTTACTAAAATATCGCAGTTTTCGTATTTCTGAAAACTACCGTTATATGGGAGGTAGGCGTGGTTATTGTCCGATTTCGCCCAATACCATTCGTCCTACGTACACATACAAAGTTCCGTTAAGATATCTCGATTTTTATTCGAGTTATCGTGAGCACAGACGGACAGACAGTCACCGTTTAATCGATTTCTTTTTTCATTCTGAATATTTATGTATACATTTGTTTATATCTATCTCGATTCGTTTTGCCTGTTACAAACAACCGTTATGTGAACAAAGTTATAATACCCTTGTACACAAGTGCGCTCGGGGATAAACATTATATAGTAATGACTTAAAGCGCAGTTACCCACGACCGTAAAAACGGAGAACGTGTCAGCTGACACGATCTATCTTATGGGATCTGCGTAACCAGGTAAGGCTACTCAATTTTCAATATCTTCGCCCTTACTAAACTGAATTTAAAGTTATGGAGAAACCAGCCTAAGTCCACCATAAGAAAATTTTGGGAAGTTGTGGTTCTTTCTTTTCATGCAAAACTGAAAAAAAATTTTACAAAATATATCTTGGATGCATTTTGCGAAGAAGAAACTATGAAAAATTAAGGCATATTCAAAATAATGAAGTCTTTATGTTGGACTTAAGCACGTTTGAAAAATACGATATGGACTTAATACATACATATGTATGTATTCAGTTAGTCTTGAAGCAAAATTTCCAAAACACTTTTATAGGGGACTTAAGCAGGCTTTATATGTATCGACTCATAAGTCATAGCAGGGATGGAAGATCGAAATTTCAAATTGTGCCTAATTTGACAATAGAAATGTTCCTTTTTGCTGTCAAATATACCTAAGAAGTAGCTCACTATTTTGTTAACTTTTTTTATTATTTCCAGACAATTGGTAACAATTTAATAAATTTTTACATTATTTGCATTAATAAGAAAATGATTAATATATCAGTACAGTTTAATTAATATTCATAACAATTCAATGAAGATACAGCTAGCTTAGAATAAAAAGTTGCTTAGTGGACTTTTTATGAAAACTCATATTTTGATATAAGAGGCTAGAGAAATTAAACATGTATCGTTTCGAAAAGGGTAGAGGTCCTTGTTTTATATTCAATGAAAGGAAAGTGTGCTGAGTCCACGAAAAGCTCCGAAAATTCGATAAGGCCAAAATAGTACGAAATATTTTAATACCGATCGAATCCCTCTGATTCGTATGGAGTTTTGCTTTGCTTTAAACAGGCAAAATGTTGTATTCAAAGTTCTGCGAAATTTTTGAAGAAAATGGCTATAAGAAGTTTTTTTCTCACCTATACAATTTTTAAATTGGGACTTAGCAATTTAGACCACGGTAACATTTTTGCTGATAACTTGACAGTTTTGTATGTTAGAGCGGTGCGGTTCCAGGAAAGCATTCTGCTTCAAATTTGTCGACGGGTGAGTATTGCGCTTGACTTCCACGCGTACGCACTTTTTCGTGGTTTCGTGTTTCGTGATGCGGAAATCGCGGGCCTACTATAGTAGTCCGCGCGAGTATTAATGTACTGAACTTGTAATTTGGTTACTATGCATATGCGGTGAAGCAGTGTTCTTAGAAACTGCCGCCGATGATTACTTAAAATATTTTTCAATTTGATGAACATTACTGCAATCAACGCTCTCATAATCAACCAAATGAATGTCAATAATGAAGAAATTTTAACGGGTAACTTTTTACAAGAGCAGCCCCTTGATTTATTGGAACCACCTTTGAATCGCCGTACATCTATTGAAACACTACTCTAACAACTAAAATTTGAAATAAGGATGCTCTTAGATGCATCTCAAGAAGTACAGCACGATGTACATAATACCAAATTTTTGTTTGTCGGTTCACCTACATATTGTACCAGAGCTTTATGTCCATCCACAAAAACGGGGTGCAAGACTTGTAAAAAATGGTTTTTATCTTATCACTAGTCTGGGGTTAGGCACTCAATGTTACGAAAACTGATAGTTTATTAAGTAATATTGCTTTAAGAAGAAAATGTTAGACATTGATCTAAGAAGTAAAATTATTTTTATATTTTCTATTACATAATTAAGGGCCTTATTCGGCATCACAAACGATAGGCAAAACGAACGATTCGTCTGCAGACGACAACCTCTCTGATTTCGATTTTTCTTCGCTTTTCATACATTACGTTGCAATGGTCTCGGTTGCGCTTAGACCGCCTAAAATGATGCCGCCGGACTAATTTTTTAAGCATTCCTCTGCAGACGAATCGTTCGGGTTGCCTATCGTTCGGGATACAGAATAAGGGTGTAAATTATTTTTTATTTCAAGATTCCTACTTTCTATGAAAAAATTTAAATTTGTTATCGCAAGCGTAATAGATAAGTATATGTTTTTAACTATATGTTTCATTTAAATGTTATCTAAAAAAGATTTTTTAACATTCTCAAATGGTCTACTATAGTAGTCCACGCGTGCATTGGTGTAAAAAAAGAGCGCGTGTACTCTAGTGTTAAATTAATTATGGGGCTTAAATTTAACAAAAATGGCCATATATTCAAGAAGAGTCTGGAATTATTTTGTAGAATTTAGTTATTTATTTTTAGCATTTATTGTTGAAAAATATATCTAAGATATCTTTGTTTGCTTGTACCTAATTAATGGTAATTTGTAACAATAAATTGTACAGAAATTAAAAAAAAAAATGTACTCCTTTTTTATGTGTTGCTTTTTTTCTATCGAAAATAGAAATGTTACTCCTTTCTTCGTTTCAGAATCTGGCAACCCTAATCTCGACACCCGCATCACCTAGCGGATAGTTCATCTTTCATATTGCATTGTCATCGGGTTCTGAGCTATGTTTACAATCCTAAGTAGAGTACCGATTAATCGGCATCGGCATCGGCTAGTATCGGCACAAAATTGAGCATCGGCATCGGCCTTTTTTCGCCGATTCTTTGGAATTTCTTTTCAAATGTTCAGGTGAAGCGACAGCCAACATTAAAAAACATTTGCAGACAGTTCACAAAAATGATTTTATTTTTGTTGAAAGTGTTTCACGTTTTTTCCATACAAAAGTATGTGCGAGAATTTTCTTTTATATGGAGAACACTGCCAGCAAAAAAAATTGCCAAAAATTAACGGGATTTTATAGCAGCTTGAAACTTGCACTTCATTATACTAGAATGAAATGGTCTACAAAACTGCATACCAAAATTCTGATTAAAAAGAATGAAATTTTGGTGAAAATAAGCATAATTTTTCTCATTTTTGTACAAAGTTTGAAATCTGAATTTATATGGAGTTTGTTGTATACTAGCTAGACTTTTATTTTGTGGACCACTATATGTATGTACATACATACCTAGCATATAAGTTCTTATGCATTCAGTGCAAAGGAGTGTATTTTAGTACAAAACGAAATGAAATTTTATGTTCCTTAAAATTTTTTGCTCAGCACCATATAAAAGTGTTTTAAATGTGATATATGTACATATATTTTTACACATACATATGTATGTATGTACATACATGTGTATGTAATGTTGCATAACAAGCCAATTAATTGAATTATTTCTTTTCTTTTGTTTTTTTTTTTTAACTCCGTGAAATGAACTGGTTTTATGAATTAATACATTTATTTGTATTTTTTATGGAATCGGCATCGGCCGATTCTTTCCCCATAAGCCGATTAATCGGCACCGGTACCTGAAAAAAAAATTGGAATCTGTCGGACTCTAGTCCTAAGTCTCTCCGCCCTATTCCCACACCACTGACAAAACTCAGCGGCTGACTATTGCCTTTACTACTGCGCCTAATACTATGCCGCAAATTTATTTTAGGCTGTCGTATGACAATTGTCAGTTTTATTGTTATGACCTACTGAGTAAGTGACAACGGCGAAACAATGTTTATATTGTGTATTAGGCGCAGTAATTGTGAGTGTTGTGGGAATGGGGCGGTCTAGCTCAACGGGAAGCTGGTTAAAAATTGATTGCAAAATTTGGTTACACACAGGTGAAACATAAGTTGCGTTCCCTAACTTGCAAGAAGTTGCAAGAGTTTACGGGAATTTTCTAGAAAGCGTTCTCGTACTCGGTTCTCTGGCTTCTTTTGCCTTTCGACAGTTTTACAGGTTTTAACCCAGAAAAGTTGTAAAAGCTTGCAAAATGGCCAAAACTGGAAAACATGTCATTAACATAATTAGTTGACCGCAGGGCTATGTATGTACATGCATTTATATATGAAATTGTTTATTAAATAAACTTTATTTTACTTATTGTGGGAAGCAATTACAGCTTTTTTATGCTCAACTCGTTACTGAATAAAATTAAGTGAAAGTACTTCCAAAGGAATTGAAAATAAATACATATATTAAATACCAAAGACCAATAAAGTGCTTGGTTATTTCCATCTTGAAGTTTTACACGAATGGAGGAACCCAACTTTTTACATCGTTTCCGATTAGGAACTTCTTTTTCTACATGTTTCCCTACTCGAATTCAATCTGAGTCCCACCGAGTGGTGTTCAAGGGTAAAATTTAAACATACCTTAACACACATATGTATTAGTTTACCTCATAATATCAGAGCCTGAAAAGTGGGCAAATGTTGAAAGGTAAGACGTCAAGCGATGGTGGTTCAGCCACTGTGCGACTTGGGACGGAGTGGACTCTGGCAAAATGTTGATAGCCTAACAGTAGCAATGTTGAATAAATTTAAATTTAATTATTTAATTAGCAGTGTGGTCAAACGTTTTCAATAACTCACATAGTCATCCATGTCTGGCGTGGTGGACTGCTGCGGGGACACCATGTTACCATCCATTAGTTTCAACGTTGGTGAATTTGTTGAAGTGACACTGTTAATTGCTATGGGGTTGGTGTTGGTGACAGGCGATCCACCAGTGTACGGCAATATGCCATCATACTTCGGAATGTGGACCGGCGAGTTAGGCCAAATTTTCAAACTATAATAAAAGCAAATAAATATAAAAATTATGTTAATTGTGCATGCGTGATCATGAACCATTCAGTTGTAAATATGTATTAGCAAATACCTGGCCTTTTTGAGAAATATTATATTATTATAAAAAAAATAATCTTGATGGTTTCGTAAAGAGTGAAAATTTCAATTCAAGAGGTACATATAAACCTCAAGAAACAATGAGATGCAATAGTGGGCCTTAACTGAAACAACTTTGCTCGTCGGTATTAAATGTCTGGGCCTGATTCTGAATAACAACCTCCTTTCGAAAAAGCCTATTGGGACAAATCCAAGAAGAGAGCCTAACTGCCATCCTAAGTTAGGGTTCACACCAGACAATATTGTCAAGACTAATATGTCAAAATGATGTGTTTGTTGTAAACACGGCGAGTTCAATTTTTTAAGTAAAAAATATTTTGGCGGAAATTTCTTGCACTATATGAGTCAAAGCCGTGTTTGTGGAAGATTAAGTTCACGAATATTGCAGTTGTGAATTAAAACAAAAAAAGAAACAATGTTTAACAAAAATTATGAAATCTCGGCTCTAATCATTTCGATCTTTCCTCGACCTCATTTGAAAAGAAATAAATATTGTATCAGCGTGCTGGTAAGTTATATGCTTTGAGCCTGATGGTACAATCACTTGATGGAGCCAGCACGCTGGTGTCGTATATTTCCCCTTTTATACAAAAAGGTTTTTGGTTGGATAAAATATTAGCTTTTCTCCAGAGTTCATTGTTTTTCTATACCATTACTTATTGAAAATGTTTGCGTATATACTTTTATATGTATATGTAAGTAAACCATTTTAGCTACCATTTTTAGCTACAAGGAATTTTTTTAGCTCTTTTTTAGCGCTTTTTTTTAAAGGAATTTGGCTACCACTAAAAACGATTCGCGGCAACACTGCTCTCCACATACAACTTTAGTGTTGCGTTGGCGCCGCTTCGAAAGCAGCGCTAGTAACGCCAGTGCTTGCTACAATGAACGCTTGGCAGCGAATACTTTGGCTACTAATTTAACATATCAATAATTGCATTCAAACTAAATTTTTTGACCGCATGGGATTAAAAAGGAAAAAGATTCACAGTTGGTCATCGTTCTGCTTTGTGTTGGCGTTAGTGTTGCCTAATTTTGGCTACGTGGACGACTGCATTTGAATTCATGTATTCATACCCAGCTGTCGAAGCGACGTTAGCGCCAATGCAACGCCAATGTCGGGTCTTTAAATTCCACTTATAGCTCAGTTAGTCAACGACGTAGCGTAAACGTAGGTTGACGTACGTAGCAGCATATCAAATTTACTGTTGATAGGGAGAGAGAAAAGCAACGGCAACGTCACCGCCATGCGGTGGTGAGTTTTCGTTAACACGCGAATCCCATAAGATAGATCGTTTCTGCGTCAACCTATGTCTACGCTACGTCGTTGACTGTTTGCGCTTTTATCGGTCATGAGCAGAGGTGGGCACTACCACAAACAAGCGTGAGCTAAAAGTGAGAATGTGTTAGTGTGCCTAATTCATTTTGCATGCTGTCGTGTTCTCTTCGCTGCGCTCCCGCTTGTATACGTACACGTGACGCTTACGCTCTTTTAGCACCTGCTAACTCTCTGCCCATGCCTGGTCATGAGTTTATCTGATCATATTCTGCGTAATGGTGCCCACACTCACCGACGTGTACGTATGCCGTGTCTATTTGACGTAGCAACATATAAAACTTACAGTTGATAGAAAGAGAGAGAAGCACGCGTAACCGTCGCACGTACACGGTGGTGAGTTTTCATTTACATCAGTCATGCCCAGGCATGGGCAGAGAGTTAGCAGGTGCTAAAAGAGCGTAAGCGTCACGTGTACGTATACAAGCGGGAGCGCAGCGAAGAGAACACGACAGCATGCAAAATGAATTAGGCACACTAACACATTCTCACTTTTAGCTCACGCTTGTTTGTGGTAGTGCCCACCTCTGCTCATGACCGATAAAAGCGCAAACAGTCAACGACGTAGCGTAGACATAGGTTGACGCAGAAACGATCTATCTTATGGGATTCGCGTGTTAACGAAANCCAACGTCGGCAGAACTCCACAAGCAAGTGCCCTGCGCTGGCAGAATTCCATATGCAAGTGCCCGGCGCTGGGCATGACTGATTTACATGGTGCTCTCATAAGTTTGATCGTGTCAGCTGACACGTTAACGTACGTGAGTGTGGCTCACCCGATCAAACTTACGAGAGTGCCATGTAAATGAAAACTCACCACCGTGTACGTGGGACGGTTACGCGTGCTTCTCTCTCTCTATCAACAGTAAATTTTATATGTTGCTACGTCAAACAGACACGGCATACGTACACGTCGGTGAGTGTGGGCACCTTAAAAGTTGATGCCGTTTCAACTCCTTGTCGCCGTGGTTGAATAGCTCGGCTGACAGGCCGTTCGCTCAAGCAGATTTGTTTTTTTTCAGCAAAATAATTCCTGTTCGTACTTGGTCATAGTCAGACGTGGGACATCGACTCCATGATCCTCGACTGGGGCTCGGGTTCGTCGTCTCTATTACTTTCAGTGCTTCTGTAATTTGATAGGGCGGAAAGTGTTCCAAAATTTAAGTACGTTTTGGACATCGCGTTTTTCCTCTCAGTCATTCGTAGGTGATTCAGATCCAATCACCATGCGAATCAAGAACAAATCGTTGTCTTCTCTACCCACCAGCACAAACATTGAAAAAATAGCTAGATTCGTAAAAACTATTGATTTAGCTAATAACCACTCATTTTTTTTCTCCACCGTTGAAATGCACAATAAACAAAACATTAAACAGTAAACAAAAGCAAAGAGCAAGAAGCAGAGATGCAAAGTGAATCACGAATGTGTCGTGTAAACAGGTTGATTCGCCGTTCGTAATTGAGAGAGCGAACCATTTAAGATAGACCGGGCTCATTAAAATGAAGCGGTTGCAGAGCAAACAGAATGAAACTCCTCTGCACTCTTTCAATTCTTAGGGACTGAGACGCTTATATCGGATTCCATATTAAGGAGGCGTATTCCAATTTAGACCGCGCTAAGGAATCATAAAGCAATTTTCGAGTATACCGATCTTTAAAATCTAACATAGCGTCCCATGAAAGCTAAGTTAGAATACGCCTTAGGAATGATGTAATTGATGTGGTTAACAAAGGTAAATCCCGAATTAAAGAGCACTCCTAGATCCAGGAATTCAACAACAGTGCCAGGCTCTACACATGAGAGTGAGCATTTTGAAGGTATTCGATTTCGTGATTTAGACAAGGTCATTTCTAAACATTTATTAATTTTAAGAGATAGTTTCTAGAAGTATAAGCTTTGATGCAATATGTTGCAATATGAAGCAGATTTAACCGATGAAAACAAATTGTTTTGAAATTGGATGTTTACATAAATCTGATAGTAGTTTTATTTTAATTTTGAGTCCTATTGAATTTTTTATACAGCTAAATAGACATTAATTACGTAATTCACGTAGATGCATTTATATTTCGTTCAGTATTTCGTTTAAACTGTCAGATTTCCTGCAAATATATTAGAATTTACAAAAGGAATTTCACTACTAATTGCCTACTTTGCTTTCTTTTCTACTACCATTTTCGCAACAAGGGATTGCATTCTTCCCCCTTCCTCTGTTCTTCGCAAATGTAAGGGAGTGTCAAACCGCGGCTGTCCCTAATTATCTAACCTTGTATTATTGAATCATGTTTAAGGTGAAGATGCAATTAGCAACGTCCAGTTCAGTGACAGCCATTCCTCCAAAGTCTACAGAGTTAGAGGTATCACAATTTGAAATAATAGCTATCAGTATCCATGACAAAATTCGATTTTAAAAAGTCTGCAAAAAGATTTACCGAATCTAACAAACTAGTACAAGACTTTTCGTTGTAGTTTAAATAAGTAGGAATATTTGAGCACCCTTTTGTAGAACGAATGTATTTCCAGAAAGCTTTGGGGTTTGACTTTGTCTGAAGTTCGTAACGAGCGATATAATTATTATATAATAATTTGTCAAGCTCATTTAATTGACACATACAATTTAAATATTTCTCTTTATAACTCATATTATCGGTGGCTTGATGTAAATTAAAATATTTGTTCCTTTTATTCATTAACCCCTTTAGCTCTTAAGTGTACTAAGGCAGCTTATGTATGCGAGTCGGAAGAAGGGAGAGATTGCTGTGGAGAGTTTCTTGAATGCTAAGGCACCCCGCACATTACACGCCTAATCAAAGTAGAGTAATCGCTTTGTCATGCCGAAACGAATGCACGACGACTCGACTTCTGCACACTTGCACCCCCTGCATAAGTCACCAGCTAAAAACACTTTCTACACTTATCATTTATTTTCAATTATTTCCTGTTGAAATGACAAATAATTTTAATTTCCAACACAAAAAAGTAAACAAATGCGGATTTCAAAACGGCAAGCGTCTTAAACGATGTTTCCACGACAAGTGATTCGCTCCCCCATTCGTAATTCGCTCTCTATTTTTTGAAAGAAAAAGCGAATCCCAATTAATTTTGTATATGATTGAATTCAAAACTTCGAAACTGGCATTCCGAAAATTAGAAGACCGGGTACCATCATTTGAGGATGAAATGTAATCGACAAATTTAAGTGATAATAATAAAGGAACATGATGCATATCCGATTTACAGATGAGAAAATTACTTTCATTTAGCTGGAAAATCATATTTTCATATATAAAAATTAGGTCCAGAATATTACTAATCTTATTGGGAAGGGCATTTATTTGGATAAGATTGATGCTAAAGACTGTCCAAGGTTAATTTCATGGGACAGATTTACATTAGTAGGTGATAAGGTAGCATTATTTAAAAAATCAGACCAAACAATTCATTTAGATTAAAATCTCCTAAAATACAAAAATGGCTATCGACATTCTTTTCATAAAGTTAATAATAGTGGTATTCGCGATTCTGTGCATTCGCTATGTTCCTCGTA